AACGGTTAAATTAAATACGTAAAACATAATATGGTAACAACTTATCTTCATTTACAAGGGCCCCATTACTGACATGAATTGCTACTTGCTACGTGTTAGCATCTGTGTTGATTAACTCACAGTTATTACAAGAGTGCAATACTGACTGTGCTGGTTCATGAGCATGCGTGTGGAGATGCGGCTCATGTAGAAGCGGTCCAGGAAGTACTGGACATTCTGGTTGGTGACGGGGTCCACGCCGAACGCCTCCTTGAACTCCAACACACCCTGAGCCATGGTGGGTACCACGTTGTTGTGCCGGTTACGGACGTTCACTAGAATCTGTGTGAAGCTGCAGGTAAGAGGGAACAAAAAGTTAATAATGCTTCGTTGGGTTCACCTCATCAGAAATATTTGTTTTATTGATGTTATCATGCCAAACTGAGTCAATCACGTATTTGTTTTCATTTGAAACTTGCTAATTAAATAATAGTTAGAAACCTTACTTTTAAAGCCGGAATTACGAAACAAAAAGTAATGGATCCTTATACCCTCAGCTGCCTATCATTGCATTCATTCACTTCCCAGGTTTCCTAATCATTTGCGTGCCAAAATTCCACGTGAATATGATTTCTCAATCTTGAAGTTTTAAAATTCACAATGCATATATACATTCAAAATTTCATTATGAAGGTAGATGTTCCCATCTAATGATGGGCATTTAGCGTATAGTTTATCTTTATCAAAATTATGTTTGTACATCGCAGAAATGTAAAAGTATTGATGGGATTATTTTTACTATTTTCCACTTTTGGCTCTATAAGAGAAGAAATAAATTAAAAATATTATTAATTACAATGTTTGTAAGCTTTTGCACTTCTTGTCCTTAAGTAGCCTATTCAATAATTAGTGATTGGTTATTTTTTTTATGTTTTGATTCTTTTATTGGCAGTTTTTACCTCTTAAGGTAAAAATAAGCAGTAGTTCTCCAACTTTTTTATTATTATTTTTTTCTTTCCACATTATTTTATCTTGTTAAACCCTCAGTTTTGACTCATTGAAAGGAAACACCTAAAGTGGTGAACCAGTAAGCTTTACAAAATACAAAATTAAAATTATATGTTAATGCTTTGTTAGTAACATTTATATAAAAGTCTAAAAAAACAGTCTGACAGATAGTAATTGCAATGTTTGTGTGACTGCAGTCTGACAGTAATACATATTGGCAAAAACGCCTTCATCTTTTTATCATCATTATTTTGACAATAGATAATGGAAAATATTGTCTCTTGTCTTGTCTCTTGAGTTTGTGTAATTTACCTGAGGTTTGTAGTTAAACTATATGATGACAAAAGAAAACCTAAAGTACAATCACAAACATATAGTGGGATGTCTAATATAATGGCTTACTTTTTTAAGACATCCTTATCGTCTGGATCTTTTTCTAAAAAGTCAACAAGCTCCATCAAACTCTGTGAATACCTGTAGGACACAAAAAGGAAAGAAAAAAAAACAGCATAAATACAGGGTGATGTTTTGTGACCAGGAATGCAAACGGCAGAAGAATATCTATTCTTTTTCAAAACTTTATACATCACACTGAACGGACTTTGCTATTTCTTCATTAACAATAACTGCCTGTCATGTGCGGGACTGTGTGTGCAGGCCAGGAGAACAAGAAGGCCTGAGTGCTGAGCTCACACTCTCTTACGCTGTGTCAGTGCATAAAAAAAAAAAAGAAATCTGGGTGAGAGGTGACTCACTGTGTCACTGCATGTGCTTTCTATACACCAAGCCTGTCCCTCAAGTCACCTTCGGGTTGTAAAAAAAATTATTTATGTGAACAGCCAGATATCTGCTAGAATGGACACAAGTATAACATGAAACATAAATGTATTTTGGCTTCACAGAGAAGCCACTGAGCTCTTCAGTTATGCAGAAACAAAAGATTTGACAGAGCATTTAAATGTTTGTGTCTGTGGCTCTTACGCTGTTATGTAAACAGTGAAATCCTGTAGATAAGATACACGTGTGGAGAGCTGCCCCCAGCTAACGCTTCACGGCGTCAAGTACAAATACAAACAGTACGCATTTTATTTCTTCCACAGTAAGACTGTCAGCAAATAGAGAATGCTGAGTTGGTGACCAGCAATGATTGTGAACTTTGAAAAGTAACTTCCAACATGAGAATGAATACTTTTTTATACAGAACTTAGACAAAATGTGGAACATAAACAGTGGATTTTAAACACAATTAACATAATTTCACAATTTCTGATAACAATGAGGAAAAAAATCCTTTCCCACACACACATGCATGCATACATCAGTGGTTTTGCTCAGCCAAATTGACTTAAAATACCCCCAGACACATGCAGGAACGATCACCTGTTGCTGGAAACTATTACTTTCAGGCATTTCTGGGTCAAACAGCCTCAAACCAAACACTGAAACAAAATGTCGTTCTGATCATTTTTGCTACTCATGAGTAGCAAAACAATATTCATTTAAAAATGTTTTCTGTGTCCAAAGCAAAACAAAGGAATGTATTCACTCTCAAGTTCATTTAAAGGCAAGATTCAAATTTCAAGACTTCTCCAACATTTTTAGCACATGGTCTGCCATACCATTTTATTTTAGATTGTACAGCTAGATACTAGAGATCTTCAAAATAATTTAATTGAGGAAAAAGACTTGAATTACAATTTTTTTCATATGCTATTATTCCACTTTTCACTAAACTAAGAAAATATTTAGTTCAAATTAGAATAACAATCCAGTACATAGAAAAACCTATTGACTCATCCATCAATATTTTATAGGTTTGCTGTAGTTTGGATGTAACCTAATCTCCATGTCTAATTAAAGTGAAGATCATTAAATATAAAGATGGCAATAGGTTTGTTACTTTGAAAGGATTAAATACAAGGAAGATTTTTTTTTTGTATGGTGAAATTATAAGAGGATTTTGGTACTGGAAGGAAAGTCCCCCATTGGCATGAACTTAGGATGATGGGAACAACTGGCTGAGGTTTGGCTTTCTGTTCAGCACAGAGAATCTAAAAGAAGTCCAGGTATCCTACCAGCTTGTCAGGAGCTTTACAGATGGAGTACTGAGGAGCTTGTCAGGGAGGTAATCAATTTCCTTCATGATGTTGGCCAGCCTGACAGGAAGCTCCTGTCGCAGGAACACAAAGGAGGTCTTCTCACATGCATTAGCAGAGCCTGTGGTCACATGAGCGACATCAACAACAATTACAACAAAGCAAGAAAAAAAAAGCAAATGGTACAGAAAACTAAAAAAATACACTTTTACAAATAAATGATGTTTGTATGAATTATCTGGAAGTTTCCTCGACAAGAATGCAGTCTGCAGTTATCTGGACATGACCTGGACTTTTCTAAATTAGACAATAAGTCACGCCAATTGCGTAATAGCAGAGTGAATGTACAGTATGTACGTGCAGCATATAGCTCTATCTACATCAGCCAGGAGCTCTTACCGAAGTCAATGAACTGCTTCATGGATAATGGGGAAGGCGAAAACTTGGAAAACCTCTCCACTTGTTTCGGTATCCCAGCTAACGAGCCGTTTTTCAACAAAAACTGGGCGAACCTCATTTTTCCTCCTCTTCAGTAAACCCCAAATGCTAGCAGTGTATCAGGGACAAGCCGTCCTTTCTGCCTCCAGCACAATCCAGTTTAACGATTTTTTTTTTAGCCAACAGGGCAATAACTCGGTGTCACACCAGTGAAATACTTCACATCATCCTTCATGTGTTTTTCTCCGGCGGTTTCCTTCCACATTTGCGCCCTTTGAATTCAACTAGCATTGAAGCACGGGGTATGTTGTTGTCTGCCAGGGGAAGACGTAAGACTGACGTTGAAACCAACCAATCAGCGCTCAGGGGTTCTTCATTCTGGGCGGAGCTCAGCGCCCATTGGCTAGAAGAGCTGGACAATGACAGACCTCTTTATGTGAGCATCACCTACCGACCAGTCATCAAACATCCCCGTGTTTACAGTTTTGAGTCACTGCCATCATTTTTGTAGCATCAAACGCATTTTCCTGGTTGCACCCCGAGTTCAAATGAAATAATAAATTGGAAGTAGCCTGGGCTGTAATTAAGTAAATTGTTAGAGTCATGCAAAAACCTTCTCTGAAGTTTCCTTTCCTCTATGATAAGGCATATCTTTAAATCAATACTTGACTAAAACTTTCCTCTGATATAATTCTTATGTCATTTCTACACGTCTAAATTAAAGCAAATGAAAATTTATATTTATTCAAAATAAGAGGTGAGAACTCTTTCTTTCTTTTTTTTTTTTTTTAGGAAACCTGATTGATCTTGATGACTTTTTACAACAAAAGAGAATCTGAAGCATAACATGCACCAGAACAGAGAAAATTGTTTTCACAGTGGTAAGAGCAACATTCGTTCTGGTCAGGACGTTTCATACTTCACAAGAAACATGAACCAAATAAATCAGAAGATGCTTTCCCGCATAATTCTCAAGAAAACATTATAAGGGTCTTCCATCTTCAACATTTGTACGGCAATATGATAATAGATGTGGGACACCAACAAAAACGAGGTTTCGCCAACGAAAACATGTCAAAGTTAAGCGTTGTCATTTCGAGCTTGCAGTCCCAATTGTTCCAGTTGTCTGATCTTGTAATGCATAATGGTCTTTAAACTTACATCAGCAAACTGTCTTGCTGTATTCATGCTGTTTTTTACACAAGTATTATCTCAAGATATTATCTCATCATCTTTGCAAGAGCTCCCTCTAACACGTTTTGTGTCATGTTTCTTATTTTAAGTAAGCAAATAAATCAATTTTTGTAAAAAAAACAACAAAAACAAACAAAAAAAAAAAAGTAAAGCAGCTCAGTCAACATCTTCCCAGTGTTGCAATGGCTCTTCTTCAGGCGGCCTCAAGATGGCGGCGTTGCTGATGACAGCGCCTCCCCAAGACGAGGAGGAGGAGGGATTTCCTCTCTTCCTCTTCAGCATCACTCCGCTCGTCGCTCCTTCCCGAGGATGTATCGGCGTGCCGGGCACCTGCTTCCAGCTACAATAACCCATTTTCACTTACTCGCTTACTGAGACCCAAACGAACCGTCCTCTAGTACCAGAGAGGCCTTTGATACAAAGAGACTGGAAGCAACCCGACAGAAGATGTGTTGATTTTTGTATTTATTTATTTATTTATTTTTAAATCGAGATACAGCAGTGAGACAGCATCTTTGCCCGTGACACATCATTAGCCCTACAAGTGGATAAGGTATGACACCGTAATATGGCCGCATATGCGACATATTGAAGCTTTTTGTTTCATTTTCAGCGCTGGAAGTTGTGTTTTTTTTTTTTTTGTAGTCGACGTCACAATAAAAGGCTCTCATATTTACAGGTTTGTGCGAATGTGCTCTAATTTCTAGCTTAACAGCGTTCAGTGACAAAGCACACAAATTCACATTCTTTCATATTGTCTCAGTGACCTGGGTTAGATTTATGCCAATATTCTTTGATACATTTCTATTCATTTATATTGAATGTTTTTGCATTGAGCTCAAAATTGTCAGGTTTTGACATGAGAATAAGGTTATGATTACATTTGATACATCCTCATGTTGAAATATTTGGCTTGATGCTTTTTTTTTCTTCTCGTTATTGTTTTGATACGTTTTAATCAATGCTCTCAGTTTTCAGTGGGGTTGTAAGGAAATGTGTCTGACACACCCGGCTGTGAACAGTCAGACTTGCTTTCTGGAGAGAAGCTCTTCTTCTGTGGTGTGTCATTTATTAGGGGACGACATATCAGGCGACTGCGTGCTGTTTCACTGTCATTTGTGGTTTATCGATCCCGAAAGGCCTCCAGGACACCATGTCAGACAAAAGTGACCTGAAGGCAGAGCTGGAGCGCAAAAAGCAGCGCCTCGCCCAGATCAGGGAGGAGAAGAAAAGAAAGGAGGAGGAGAGGAAGAAGAAAGAGGTAAAGGAAGTAGCACATAAATTTATGTTATGCTTTTTGTCAGACATGAAAAACTGCAGGAGGTGAAGTTGTGAAAAATGTGTGCCATGAATCTTTGAAAAAAAAAAAAGCCTCTGAGTTCTCCCTCTATATGCTTCCCTGGGTGGAGAAGTCAGACAGCCAGCAGAAAACAGAGGTGACGCCAGAAGATTCAGACCTGGACCGCAAGCGCAGGGAGACCGAGGCCCTGCTACAGAGTATTGGCATCTCCCCCGAACCTCCGCTAGGTACATCATATTCTCTTTTACAAGCAAAACATTTAAGAACATTCCTTCAATTGTAATTAAGTTCTCATGGAAAATTCAATGTGCAGGTCCGTGCTTATGTTGCATTGTTCATTTCCGCTGTTAAAAATGAGGCTTTGAATCCTCCTAGAAGTGTTTATCAGCTCCTTAAAGAGTGCTGTTCTCTAGTGGTCCAGGATTGCAACAACACCGTAAACTCCTCTAAAGTGGGTCGCTATTTATTTATTTTTAGCTCTAGTTATTTTTAAGTCGTGTAAAACAACAGATTGATGAGAAACAAAGCAAAAATCCTGCAGTGCACCTGGGCCTCTGTTCGCATTATGAGCTATATGTTTTTGCTTTGACAAAATCCTGTGCTTTGTCTTATGCATGCTTTAAAAACAAGATGGTTTTTGTTACCTTGTCCCTTAGTTCCTACACCTGTGTCGCCCTCTAAATCAGTGAGCACTCCCAGTGAGACGGGAAGCCAAGATTCAGCTGAGGGAGGGGCAGCAGGCAGGTAGGCAAACGTTTCTCACCCAGAGTTCAAAGCCAGGCGTTCTTCTTTATGTTGTTTGCCATTTTAAAAATGAATATAGTGAATATGGCATTTGTAGGAACAATGTTTTTGATGCTTATGTAAGAGATAGAAGACTTAAGGACTGCTTTTTGAAGTGTAAAGGCTTCATAAAAGACATTTGATCTAAAAATGGTAATAACTTTAATGAGGTCTGGATGGTTCACAGAAATATTTCTGTTTTTTTTCTTCTTGATATTGGCACGACAGATTTAGGTAAGGATGGTTCCACCAACGGTGAGGTTTCTTCATTGCGTATAAATGTGATTTTGGTGTCTCTTTTTTTTGTGATCACAGTACTTTGTGTTTTGATGACCAGTCTTTGGTTTACACACCAAGGTACATATGAGAAGTTTGCTTTGCAGAGTGTCAAAACCCTTAAAAATGAAGCTACAGAGACAGGCTAGCAGACTTAGTAACCCTGGAAAACCGTTCATTACCAAGACTTTTGGTAAGACACTGTGTCTATTTGAGAAAGCAACATTTTAGCCAATTTTTTAAAAGCAATCTTTGCTTTTATTGTGCTTCATTGGGCTTGAGTTTTTTGTTTCATATAAAGGCAACAAAAATTCAGTGAGATGTGATTTAAAGTTACGCGTCATATATGCTGCATCCATTACAGCATGTTATGTATGTTAATTGCAGAGAGGTGGTGCAGTCGGTAGTCCTAATGTCAGTGTTTTGGTGAAAAAAAAAAAACAGTGTGTGGTCATCAAGTGCTTTCCATTTGCTTACTGTGAGGTCAATGTGTGAGTGACGCCTTTGGGATCATCAGTGATTTATTGTTTGGTATGGCCAGTGGTGGCGTTGGGGGTTGAAGAAGTGAAGAAAGTTACGCTTACATTTCCAGGAGAACAGAATGCACTTTTGCTAAGTTATTCATTCATGTTAGTTTTTATCAATTTGGTGAATTGAAGACAACTTTCCCCCTCCAATTCCACCTTGGATGACGACATGCCAATTTGAGCTTCTCCATTTGTGGTTGAGTATGAATGCGTGCGTGTGTGTGTGTGTCCTTCATAGGTCAGGTTTCTCTAAAAACAAGCCCCAAGCACAGAGCTCAAGGTAAGCATTTTCATGTCAAACCCAGGAAACCCCTTCCTTAACTTTCTGTGGCTGAGGTCCAACTCAGAACAGAAAGGCTTCCACAGTGTTGTCTTTTGACTTGATTTAAAAGACCAAAAGAGTGCTGTGTCCCACCCTTCTCCTCCCCGCTCCTCTCTTGTCCTGTCTTAAGCTGTGCTGCCGCCTCTGATAGCAGCTCGAAACATCTCCTCTCACATGAGCTGAGCCGCAGAGGTCATTTCAGTTTCCTCAGAGGTGACAGTGTTGCTTAAAGTGTCATCTGTGCCACGGCAAAACAGCCAGCCTGTCAAGCCAAAGAAATCCCTTGGCACTCTTTGTTTCAGAGCTGTGTGACACATGCTGAATGTGTGACGGGTCTGTTTTCTGTTCAGCAATGTATCATCAGGAGGTCTGGTGTGTTATCCTTTTGCAGCTGGTGTGTTTCAGTTGAGAAACACTTTGATTTTCCCATAACTGATTGATTCCTACCTGCCAAAGCAGCAGAGGAATGCAGCCAGTGAGCTCAGCATTTTTCCTCACTGTTTGTTTTCCTAACCCTAACCCTAAATTTATTGACTGCATGGCATTTCCAATGCCTTATTTAGCTCTTAATTATTTGTCCATGCTAGACCTATTTACTCTATTACATCCAGAGCCTTGCAAAAATCCTTCATAGCCCTTTAACTTTTTTACATTTTCAAGTTGATGCTATAAAACTTCATACATTTTAAGGGGATTTTATTTGCCTGTCCAGGGGTCTGCAACCTGCAGCTCTGGAGCCATAAGTAGCTCTTTGGACTTTCCACAATGGTTCCTTAAAATCTTAGCTAAATATTATAACGAACTAAGTAATGTTTTCCATTTTTTTGTCACAGAAAAATTGCATTAAACAACACTAACATTAACATTTATAGTAATTACATCTATTTTACTTGTCATTAGATTGGAAAATAAGTTTTTTTTTTACATACTTCAATCAATATCCTATGGAAGACAATATATTCATCCTGATTTTGTAAAGTTTTCAAGTTTTAATTTGTTTTAAAATGTAAAAATATGAATGAAATTGTGGTTCTGTAAAAATAACAAACTTCCAACAGTGTTTCTGAAAAACAAAAGTTAATTTTTTCAAAATTTTATTTAACATTTGGGACTCTGAAGAAGTTTTACTTAGCCAGACTGAGAGCAAAAATGGCTCTTTGGGTTTTTAAGGTCATAGACTCCTGTACTAGACCAACCCGAAAGTGGGAGAATCACTTCTCTGGACTCTCACTCCTTATGGTAAACATGATGGTGATGGCAGCGCAATGCAGGGGTGATGCATGTTTTTCTGCCAAAGAGGATGGGAAGACAGATGAATCCAAATGCATGCCATGCTTTATAGGTTTTACCAGTAAAAAAAATAAAATACAATTCTGGTTGTAACATGAAAAATGTTAAAATGTTTAAGGGTGGACATACTTCTGCAAGGTGCTGGTAGCTTTTGCTTTTGCAGACTTTTGCTGATATATGTTTACAAAGAAACAATTTTTAAAAAAATGCAGCTACTTTTTCCTGATGAGAGAAAAGTGCAAGCCCTTAAGTGTGCTCTCATTTACATGGGAAAAAAGGTGGACATAAATACCTCCCAACCTAAAAGTTATTTTTTTGTCCATTTAAATGAGAATAACTTAGATTAAATAAAGGAATATAAAAATGTCAAGGATTTTCTGAATTTTAATTTGTTCTTCCTTTTAAATAAATGAAAAACCTCACAACATAAAAGCAGAGATCTTCAACGATGCATAATGAAAGACAGTATAATGTCTCATTACAGGAGACATTTTACTTCAACAGGCAATGTATGTGTGTGTACATGTGATGTATTTGTAGGTCCTTCATAAATCTGTCCTAGTGACTGCAAGATGTTTCTAACCATTCGTGTTCTCTCTTGCTCCCTCTGTTGGTGACATTAGGACACTGCAATGGGACACAGACCCCTCTGTGCTGCAGCTGCAAGCTGATTCTGAGCTTGGGTACATCTTTCTCATCTCACTCTCTAAAAAAAAAAAAGATTAGAAATTGACACAAGACAGTTTGGGATTTATTTACAATATAATTAGAGTCATTAAAATGATTTTGCTCTCATGCAGGCGAAAGATGCAGAGACTCGGAGCCTCTAAAATCACCCAGGTTGACTTTCTTCCCAAAGAGGTGGTTTCTTACAGCAAGGAGACACAAACACCTGTCAACACCCACCTCTCTGAAGGTATTTATTCATATATGTTCTGAAATATCAATTCTAGATTCAGTATTGTTCAAAAACTTCTTCACTAAGAAGAAGTTCATATATATGTATATAAAAAAATTCCCTTCTCACCCACCGCGGGTGGTTCTTATCCTCTGAGCTCGGGTCCTCTACCAGAGGCCTGGGAGCTTGAGGGGCGCAGTATCTTGGCTGTGCCAAGGACTGCACATTTCTGGACTGAGATGTCTGATGTTGTTCCTGGGATCTGTTGTAGCCACTGCTCCAGTTTGGGGGTTACTGCCCAAGGGCCCCGATGACCACAGGCACCACTGTGGTCTTCACCTTCCAGGCCCTCTCCAGTTCTTCCCTGAGGCCCTGGTATTTCTCCAGTTTCTCGTGCTCCTTTTTCCTGATGTTGCAATCACTTGGTATTGCTACATCTACCACAACGGCTTTCCTCTGATGTTTATCCACTACGACAATGTCTGGTTGGTTTGCCATTACCATTTTGTCTATCTGGATCTGAAGTCCCACAAGATCTTAGCTCTGGTGTTCTCCACCACCTTTGGGGGTGTTTCCCACTTTGATCTCGGGGTTTCCAGTCCATATTCTGCACAGATGTTTCTGTACACTATGCCTGCCACTTGGTTTTATATATATATATATATATATATATATATATATGTCAGATGAATCTCTTAATATACTAATTGTGTATATATATATATATATATATATATATATATATATATATATATATATATATATATATATATATATATATATATATATATATATGTCAGATGAATCTCTTAATATACTAATTGTATGTCTAAACAGAAATTTGCTGTTAAGTTTAAATGCCGCTACGATTTTATGTGGAGTTGATGCCAGTAAAAAAATAACAGTTTTCCTGTTTTGAGTGCATGGTCTGAGTCTGTAGAGAACACGAGACCACATGTGCATCCATGCGAGAATGTGCATATTTGGGTCCCTGCGAGTGGGCGTTCGCATGTGTGCTGAGCTGCGGCTACTAAACACATCCATATGGACAAAATCTGAGCTTTATTCTCACATTGGAGCAGGAAGAACATCCGTGATTCCAGGTGTAAAGGTTGAAGTGTTTTGGTTTTTTGGACCTAAATTGATATTTTGGATCAAGGACGGTTGGAGTCGCTCCACATAATTAGGCGTTTTGTTTTCTTTGCCAACAGTTAATGGTGATATTTTGTGTAGAAATGTTCTCTTGACATGCTGGAATGCCAATAGAAAGAATTCTTCTCAAATCTGCTCATACACACATCCACACACACTCTCTCCCTATCGTTTTCTCTATCTCCCCTTCTCTCGCTGCCAAGACAGCTGGCAGCCATGTGACTGTAAAGGGTTGTACTTCCTGCTTCCTGTCATTATAATAGATGGTCTGCTGTTGATTCCTCTGCCCCCCACCCCTTTAACCGGCAACCACTGAGCACATACACTCGTCTGTCCTGATCTGCATCCTAATGGCCTGCTGCAGCTCTCCTCATTTCCTCGGCAGCCCCAGGAATAGATCATGTATTCAACAAGTGCACGTGCGCTGACTCATGCTCACACACATGTTAACATATATGCGCGGCGGTATCACAATCCGTCACTCTCGGTCACGTTTGCTTTCACCTATGAGGACTTGACAAACAAATAATACCTGACGCTTAGATACAGACTAACAAGCGGGTTTATCTGAGTCAGGTAGTCGGCACAAGTATAAAAACAAACACGTCCAGCAACACTTTGTGTCTTTTTATTTAGATTCATTTGTTTTCAGTCTCCGTTGAGGGTTCAGGAGGTCTGAGTGTGTCTGTGTGCATGTGAGCCTGCATGCATGAGAACATCTGGGAACCAGAACAGAGTTCTGGTGGTCTTCTGGGAGGCGACCCTGGTCTCAGGAGCCCCTTTCTTTGCAGACTACCACAAAGCTTGTGTGTCTAGAGGGGGCGGGGGGGAAAGGAGACGGTAGCACCTGCCTGCTTCTCTGGCTGTTTGTTTGTTCAGGTCTGTTCCTTTTTTTGGAGGGATAATGAACCCCGCTTACAAAGCATATCTTAGTTTATGATTACAGATGAATTTTTTGTGCTTGAGCTACACACTTTAGCTTTGACTCTAAGGTGGGCTACGTTTGAGATCGCAATGTTGTGCGGATATAAGATCTTTAATGAAATGGTTAGATTTTTATGCTTGACCGATCCTGATCAGTGATGTCAGCACTGTCTAAGCACTGTCTAAGCACTGTCTGATCAGTGGTGTCCAAACCTTTAGCTAAGAAAACCAAAATCTTGAAATTGAAAGTATATGTGCGCCACTTTTCTTATTTTCCTGAAAAGCTAAATATATTTAATGAATTTTGATTATTTCTGACTTGGTCAACAATGACGCTCTATTTAAATGACATTAACAAGTTAGTCTGAATCTTTGTTCGAAAAGAAAATGGATCTGTAAATCTTTGTAAATTAGAAAATGTAATAGGAGCTAAACATGTTGGAGGAAAATAAATGGACTACAAAATGTATGGAGTCTTCTTAGTTTGGGCACTAAAACACTGAGAGATAAATTTACTGGAAATTCACACAGAGACTGCTGTTAGAAATGGCAACCACACAAATTACACTAATCACTAGTAAAAGGCGCTAAGACAGTTTAAAATGTCAAGTCTGTAACCTGCTGACTTTGTTTTGTGATAATTGTTACATCTTGTTTAACTGCAGAGTTATTTAACACTGACTGCTCTCTGCCTTACACAGGGTATATTTCAAATTTGGTCAAAGAAAACTGCTGTAAGCCCCCTTACAGTCAAAATAAATGAATGAAGGATTTTAAAATCTTACCCATAATAGTAAATTATAGTTTTTTTCTCTCAAATATTAAGTTGGGCACAGTTGTGATGTGTTTAGAAACAAGTGCATTGAAAGAAATGAAATCGCTTGAGATGTTATGCTCATTACATTTTTAGGTGTGCAAAAAAAAAGTACCTGCTATCCTGTATAAATTCCTTCAACATAACAAATTTTTCTTTATTTCTACATTTCCATTGCTCTAGACAGTTCTGTAAGATTGGGCTAGTTTGCAGTAGAGCTTTACATTTATTACCTTTCTGCTACTTTTCTGCTTTTTGTTACCTTCTGAACTCTGACCTTACACAATCCCCATGAGATTTATAATCATATTCTAATATTTTACTGCAGATTAAACTAAGAGAATATGAGTGAAAGGTTTCTCCCTCTTGAACTTCTAACCTCTTGTGTGCTCATATTTGCCCTCATGTTGTGGTGGCTGTTTTGTGTTTGTGTGTTTATTCGAGAGTGCAGCTGGAACCCTGGAGGCAGTGGCATTAAATTAGATTTAATCTGCGCTTTGTGTTTTAAAGCTCCTATAAAGTTAGTTAGACAGACTTAAAGCTGAACAAGTTGATGATGAGGATTTTTATGGCTGCAACCAGTTTGCTGTCTTGACATTTTGATGGGTTGCAGTAATCTTTTTGAAAGTCCTCTGATTAACCTATTACCAGTTTATGTTGTGCAATGCAGTCAGATTAAGTCCAGTCATGGTTGGCTCCAACTATTAACTTCTCTCTTCAGCGATATGAATGGACACAATTGTTGTGGGACATGGATGAGTTTGACTAGATGGTGGAGAAATTAATAAAAGACTAGCATTGTGTGTTACGGTAACTGGAATCAGTAGGGTCAAGCTAAGTTTACTGGACTGTGGACATTGTTATTTTATTATTTCATTATTTCATTAGCTGACCCAGTCAAACCAAATCTTGAGTTACTTCTGTCCTGTCCACTTCTTAAAATGCTAAAACACTTTGACCAAGTAAGATTAATGTCAGAAAATTTAAACCATTGGTTGTTCACTTAATTGTAAAATTTGAAAAATGTGTATTTTTTTCTCTTGGTTGAAATGCACCAAAAACGTACCAATCATTGAACTTATAACAGAGAATCATGCGGAACCGTGATCATTTTACTGTACATGTAATACATAAACTCATAAGATTAATTTGCAAATAGATAAATATCACTGTTAACAGTTTGGCCAAGACTGGAATTTACACACCATCATCACATTTGTGGGTCAAAGCTTAAACTACGCTATCGGTCCTCAAATGACGGCCCAAGGTCCACATCCGGGATGCGAGCCGTTTATTTTTGGACTTCCACGCTGGCTAGTTGCTGTCTGCAGTTTGCGATCAGACCATGTCCTGATCTGGAAAACACGACGGATAATGATCCACTCCGGATTCTCCATGTCTAAAAAAAACAACCGCTCCATAATTTTTGAGGTGACAAGTTAGTTGTGAATTACTTTCGCTAGGTGGAGCGTTTAACAGATGCTTAAAAGCTCATGTGAAAGAAGTCAGTGAAAATGAAAGAAAATGATGAAAATGAACAAAAAACTAAAAGGTAGTAAAAGGTGAAAATAAACGTTTTCAGAGTTTAAGTAAAGGATTGGCAAATTGAAACTAATATGGGAGGTGTGGTAAAGATTACATTGAAAAAAGTGGCCCTGATACTGGAGCAGTAATTGTTACCAGTGAACCAGAAAGGGGGCCATTACAGTTGAAACTCTTTGTGTATATGTGTATAATTAGATAATGCGATGCTGGAAAACCCCTTCTCGGGGTTAAAAGTTTCAGGGTTCAAGAGTTTACGTATTGTTTGTGCGTCTGTATCTAAAAATGTGTGTCTGCGACTTTTTCTTCACTCCAGTTTGCAATATTTTCTGGCCCACTGGTTTTTTTTGGGCTCTGTACAGCTCAAGTGTAACTTTGGTCAGAACTTCACCCTTTAAATAAGTTTCTTGCAAAAGGAGGCTTTCTAGCTAAATTTAGTGGGGCGTGAATAAAGAAAACCCCAAAACAAACAAACATCATGGGCTGGCATTAGTCTGAAAAGAAACAGTTACATTCCTCCAAATAGCTGAAGACTCATACATGAGAATTCAGACAGATGTTAACACTTAAATCTTACTGAAAGATA